GATTATTCTCTCTTGAGATTATTGTTGTATGAACTCTTATTGTTAGATTGATAATCCAATTAATCAAATTCAATTTGAGCTTTGTGTGAGAATTGAATTATGATAATTGTTGAATTTCTTGTTTAAGCAAATTTATATTTCTCATTTGTTTTGATTACTGATAATTTGAGTTAACTGAAATATCCATTTAATCATATGCTTTATAAAACTGCCACTTTCTTTTGCTTTCGTATGTAATCTTTTTTCATGATATCAACAATTGGACTCAAAGCTTATAATATGTGCAATTGTTTGAAAAATTCTTATTTTGTTAAAGGAAATGCTTTTGAAAACGGTTTTAGGGGAAGGGTCTATTCACCCAACATCTAGATCATTTTGATCCCCATATCCTCCACCAACAGAAATATTTGTAGCACTGACTCAGGTAATCTTGCCTTTTTCCTTCTCGTGCCTCTAATTACTTGAGAAATATGCAACATAGGGGGGTGAGATTACTAAATCTCAGTGAGTTCTAGACTAAACATTGAGTCCACTCATGCGTGATTTTTGCTTATCGGCCCCATACTAAAATTCATCACAACAGAATATCTTTCCACAACCAATAACTTATCACACGAGTTGGGATTCGGGTCATAGAAGTTTACTAACCGTAATCCGTCTTTCCCTGGTCATAACTATCTATAGCTTGAAATTAGGTCTCAGGAACTATTCAACTTCCCCGTACACGGTAACTACTCATTGAAATTAGTCTAGGAAACCTATCACTAGCCTATCTTAATTTCGTCTGCACTATAACATTCCTTTCGCACAATGACGAGGGTGTGTGTTTGTGCTTACATATTGTGACGCTCGATTAATCAAATTACTTAAGGTTTCCTTACTATTTTGTCTTATTACTTAAATAAGTTGACTAGGAGAAACCTTTTTGCATTAATTATTCATCATTCCATAAGTACTCATTATGTGCCTCATTAGTCGATAAATTTTGAACGAGTATTTTTCCACACAACGTACTCATATTTGATCCCTATAAGTATACTAAGGGGTTGGATACAAAACGGGGTAAACTAAGGGTCCTAAATGACATTTGGAGGTTCGAAGTTAGTGGAACAACATGGCCCGTGTTGGTTGGCGCCCCCTTTCCCCCTAAATTCTGGGTGCAACACAACCTGGTCATGCTAGCCAACACAACCCATGTTGTGCCCAGCAACATGACCGTTTCAGTTTTGTGTGTTTTTCATACAGTTGGCCCTAATGTACTTGCATCAAACCTCAGCATAACCAGACCACAACCAATAATCCATGTTAAAACAAGTCTAATGAAATCAATTCCATAGAGAGTTCACACAACAATTTATTAATCCCATTTTTCTTTACCCTAGCAATTCATACATGATCTACATAGCTTCTACACGTCACAACAAAAGAACTCTTATTGATCAACATAAACGTATATGCAGCAAATGAACAATATACATCAAGGTTCATAAAATCATCTTATCATCATGTATCAAGAATTGTAACACACATAATTATCATGTTAATCAAGCACATAAGAACACACAAGCATGAATTTGTCAAGAATCAAAATCTCAACCCTCGTGCATTATCCTTAGAGGCTAAATTCCCAAATCATGACCTAACTAGAACCCACCTCTAGTGTCGATGAGATTCTCAATTGGTGAAGAAAAATGGAGAGATTTATAGGTAATACTTTGCTATCAACTTCTTTCTTCAAAGATCCCCACTCCTATTCACATACAAGCCAAGAGAATGAAACTTTGACTCAATTTCCTTCCTCTTCTTCTTCAATTTTCCTCTTCCTCTTTACTCTCTCCAATACTCTCCTGTTGGTTCTTGTAATACCCCATATTTCCTTAAATTCTCAATTGTTAATTGGAATAATTGAAACTCTTAAGTGCTCTAAATGTTATCAGTTGAGACCAATAGAGCAACTAGTGAATTCTGAAGAGATCAATTATTAATAAAAAGGGACTAACCAATATTAATAAGTATAAGAGAGAACATTTTGGTAACTCTAGTATTTAGTCAATTGGTGTTAAATGACAAAATATCATATGGAGATATTTGATCATTATATAATATTATATGTATTATATATATATATATATATGTGTGTGTGTGTGTGCGCGCGCGCATGTGTGTATGTGTGTGTGAGTGTGCGTATGTGCATGTGTGTGTGAGAGAGAGAGAGAGAGTGTGTGTGTGTGCGCACGTGCGTGTGTGTATGTGTGTGTGTGCGCGAAAGAAAAAGAAAGAAGAAAAAAGTTAGTAAGGAAAAGAGAAGAGAAAGAGAGAAAGAAGGAAGAGCTCATGGAAGAGGAAGAAGAGGAATTCATCATCATCAATCCATCTCATTTTTTTCTCCATTGCAAGGTGAATTCCAATAGATAGTATAACTTTTGAGAGAAAGTTGTAGAATCATGGGTGGGTTAGGTTTTGTGTGAAAACATGATTAAATGTGAATTTGATGTTGATACATGTTATTTTGATGAATTCCATGCTTAAATCATGTTATACTATGTTTATTTTGGTGATTGTATGCTTCATAAACATGTGGGTATGAGTTTTGGCCATGGTTGAATCCATTTTCACACTATTGGAATTCTGAGTCTCGTATGGGTCGATGTGCGAGCTCTAGGCGACCAGCTTTTCTACTATGCTCGTTGTGCGAGCTTCGGCGAACAGAAAGCGAGCTGCTCGCTAATTGCTCGTTGTGTGACCATTGTGTCTTTTCAGCTCTTCCATCACCTTTCCTTGGGCTTGTTGTGTGAAGCAAAAGCGAATCATCCTAGCCTTGGGTTCGTTGTGCAAAGCGAAAGGGCATCAGGCTCGCTTTGGGGTTGTTGTGCGACCATGACAGATCCTGTCTTTCCCCGTTTTGTATACCATGAGGGATGGTTGAAAATTGGTAAGGGGCTTGGCTCTGAAAGATCTAACTATTTATGTGATCATAAATTAATCGAGAACGTTGGTAGAGGAATGTTGATTCTATGCCTTACGTGAGATATTTATGCTTGGTACGTTACGTTATACTCCTATATTTGTTATGCTACATATGTATAATGATTGAATGCTTGATTTTGTGATAACATGCTTAAAAGACTATAAGAATGGTGAGGAAACCCTTGATATTAATTAGTGGAATGAACTAGTAAAGTGATTAGGTCATGATCTATAACATAGATGGCAATGCTTGTGCAAGGATGTCTAGGTGTGTATCATTGACAAATAGTTGTCTAGTTGTGAGGAGAGCTTTGTATGGAACATGTATGATTTGTGTTGTTTATGGTTAAGGCGGATGTGACGCCTTGTGATTGTCGTATACAATCACGTTATCCTTAATGATTGCATAAGCGAATGGAACCTACAACTTGAGATGGGGGTATTCCCATGGGAAACTAAGATTCTTTGATGTTTTCCCTTAGAATTTGAATTCATTCGATGTTATGTTATGTTTTATCACGTAGTCTGAAACAACCCCTTGAGATGTGTCGTTCCAAGAGTTGAGGTTTATGTAGAGCGCTCTTCTGGAATGTACGCACTATTACTTTGACATGTTTGATTCTCGTGTGTAGTACGAATGGAGCCTACGGGTAAAATGCTTGAGATGGGGGTATTCCCACGGGAAGCGGCGATTCATGTGAAAATCACATTGAATCTGAATCAATTTCGTATGTCAAAGTACATTACAAGGATCCGTGACCCATGTTGAAAGTCCTAGACGTAGGAGAGGACGGGAAAATGGGATACCTTGATATAGTTTCTGATTAGTGATTGTTTGAGTTGGTGGACCCAAGAGACATGTTTCCATACATTGTGAACTGTGTGAACTCGAGTCTTATCCCTTTCCCTTTTGACTTGAGATGAAATTGGTTAGAATTTTATAGAGTCGAGTGAACTCATAAGATAAGGGAACTCACTGAGATTATTATCTCACCCCATTATTGTTATTGTTTTTCAGGTTTTGTTTGCATGTTTAGTTTACAAGTGGAGCTATGCTTGGATGTTTTAAGAGAAGCTTAAATTATGTTTTCCGTTGTGTATTATGTATCATGTACAATGATGAATATTGTACTCCAATCTTAATTTTTATTGTTTTGACACTTTCCATATCTTATACCATAGATCGTCTTTTATGTTTTGTAAAATGATCAAGTATGTAAATTATACCAATGAACACTTATGATGATGTCTATTCTAGATATATATTACACAGAACATTACAATACAATTCTGATTTAGAAAGGGATGAAAAAAATGAATGAAAACTACTTCATTTGCCCTTTTTAAGATACTAAAAAAAGGACACCTTTGCCCTTAGTCATAATCCAATTACTAATTCTACCACTCTTGTCTAATTAAAGTCATTAGTTCACTAATTCATCAATTACGCACACTAATATATCATTAGCATGATAATTAAAGTGTGTTACAAATGCATTACATCCTCCCCTTAATTTAAAATTCCTCCACAAATTTAAAACTTACTAGAACATTTGAGGGGGCAATTCTTGCATTTCTGACTCGAATAACCAAATAGCCTCACCCGAACGTGATTCCTCCCAAAGGATCTTCACGAGGGATATCTCCTTATTCCAAAAAGTTTTGCTTACATACTCCACAATTCAGCTTATAGGAGATGTTTGCTTCTACTTCAACCATATCCGAAAGGACACGGTGAAAGGAATTGGGAACAAACTTTCAGAGTTGTGATACATGGAATATATCGTGGAGCCTGTATAGTGAAGGTGGCAATGCTAACTTGGGGCGGGGGTTTAAAAAAGTCACAAAAATGTTGAATATATTGTACCTCAAAAATTCATAGAAAACTCCAATCAAAATGCAAATGTTACAAAGTTCACAATAACATTGACATTCCATTTACATATATGGTGTGTGGTTCCTAACCACGGTAGAAATACACCAAGAACGAAATGTAAGTAAGAGATGCTACAGCAGTGAGACTTGCAATTTAGTTACTGATCAACTGCCATTGCTTCGGACGGACTTGTGTCCTCTATCCCATTCTTAAGCTCCTCGGTTGCTATTCTCATCTCCTCCATTAGACTCTTTTGGTCTTCCTCTATTGTATTCTGCAACTCATCCACCTGCAAGAAAATTAAGTAAATTAAATATTGACATCAATGTTTACATTGACAAAAATATTAGAATAATGGACGCTGCCTGTTGAGAATTTGGCATCATTATATTCTTAGTTCACAGCATAGCCAATGAAAAACAGAAAATACTGGAAGACCAAGTTTATGTGACATAACAAGTAAAAAGATACATAGAAAATATATAGCTTATTGTAAAATCCTTAAACAAAAGTGACTCAATAAATTGAGAAGTTTCAATTTGTTCTTCCAACAAAGCTAAGACATCAATATCATTCACACTCATGTCCTGAGTAAAAAAAACATCAAAGAGAAATTACTAAAGAAGGACACATTTTACAGTCGGTGGATATTATAGAATTTGACAAGAGCCTTGTAAGTTGCTTAACCATTTCAAGCAATGAATTAATATGTCACGAGACATAACTTCTCTATTCCAGTATTCCAGGCCTATGAATGTATTCAAATGATTACTTGGTTTGACAATTTTCAGCCCAATCACCGGTTTTAATAATCTAAAAACATTTAAGATGATTCAAAAAGGCGAATGCTGATCACAATCAAAAAACCAAAATACTGCTTTGTAAGTTAAAACTACCCTCTTCAAAAATGCATTTCAAATCTTTCAGCCTGCAAACTGTGCGAAAATCCCTTCTCAACTGATATTCATAACTAAGGCTGCATTCTGCCATTCTCAACTTAATTAAACAGGGCATTCATAGTTAAGGCTGCATTCTGTTATATATTGTTTTTAAATTATCACTTCATCCATGCTTCTTTGACTCGGACATTTCCTATGCAAATTGAGTCAAACAGAAAAAAAATACAGATGCGCGCAGTTTCTAACTATGAGTATTTGATGTTTTCTTTTATGGTTGATTTCAGTTGAACTTGGATGGCTATTAAGCTTTCATTATACTGAGTTATATTTTAGGTGAGAACAAAAAAGAAATAAGAAAACATTTTCCAGAACCACACGAGCTCTTAGTTTTTCATATACATTAGATGTTTCATCTGCATACTGTTACAATTTCAATCATAACCAAAATAAGATATATCTAATATAATGTTCTCTACTTCAATATAGTGTGTGATTTTGCTACAATGTTCTCTATTCTCAAGTTGTTTGACTTCTCTCCATCTGATCTACTTTCCTTACCACAGAATCTATGGGTCTTCTCTCTATATACTCAAGCCACCTTAGTATATTCTCCACCATCTTTTCTACCATAGGTGTTATCCTAACACTCTAATATTTTCATTTTTAATCTTATCATGTCTAGTCTTAGCACACATCAAACGCAACATCCTCATATCTACTTATATTTACTTTATTCTCGCGTTGATTCTTACCACCCAACATTTTGGCTCGTACAACATTGCAAGTCTTATTGCAGACTTATAAAACTATAAGAGGTTATTAAGAAAGATATTGAGATTAACAATTTGCAATGAAGCGCGGACACGATACGGGTATCAAATACGATACGTATCCGATACGGAGATACGTTAGTCATTGAAAAGTTTAGGATACGATACGTTTAAAATATATATATAAAAAAATTAAAATTAAACATTAGTTAAATGATTCTCTAACAAAATCCAATTGAGTTCGCAAAATTTGATAATAATTGGTCAAGAAATTATGAGAAAAAGAAAAAATTACTAAAGTTAAGAGAAAAGTAATTAAAGGAAAAGTTTGATTCTTGTAATAGAAAAAACGAAAGTGAAGAGGTAATTAAAGTTGAAAAAAGAAAAATTAAGAATGAGGAAGATTGATTCATATTCTAGAAATATGAATAGACATGAGATTAACTAGCCATATCCATAGAGTATCGGAGACATGTCCCCAGCGTATCGGATACGATACGGCTTAGATTTTAGTGTATTGATGCTTCATTGACAATTTGGAATAGAAGCATAGTCTTAGATAGAACATTATGGTGAAAGTTAATCCATATAACTGACCCACTTAGTGGAATAAGGCTTGGTTGTTGTTGGTTGGCTCTCTATTCTCAAGTGGCATTCCTAACTAAGCATGCACACTGCCATTCTCTATAATGAATTTAACAGGGTTAAGCATCTACATTAGCGCATTATTTTGAAAGAGAAATAGTTAAACAATTAGGCATAACAGATAGGCACAGAGCTGACAATAAAGCAGTGATGAACAGCTGATTAAATTCCTGCATTGCAAATTTCAAATAAGCAAATAACACAACAATCACACAAGCAATATCATAAGCAATTAAGCAAAACTAAATATCTACCACATACCACATGCAACAAAAGTGAAAACTGCTTCTTGCGAAGCTCCAACAATCTTGAACCAGCAGTATTCTCAGCATCTAAAGCAGCTATTTCTTTCTCCAACTCAGTTATAACCTTCTGTGTCTCAGATCTCGGCGGCTGCAAAGCAATCAATTTCCTAATAGCCTCACACTCCTCCTTATGCCGTCTCTCAACTTTACTCTCTTCCAATTGCTTCTTATGATCCTCAATATCAACCTGCGCCTGCAAGATCTGGCGATTCATTTCATCTTTCAACTCATTGAAATTATCCTTCTCCCTAACATTAGCCTCCACAATTGCTTTACTCTTCAAAAGAGGAATCTCAAATGTAGTAAGTTCCTGCAAAAAAGCTCTAGCAAGCTTTTCACAGTCGTTGTAGTTATCTTCGTCTTTATCTACCTCGGAAACAAAAGAGGTGAACTTCTTTTGAAGCTTCTTCAATGGAGGTTCACCTCGAGTGGTTGTTGTACGGGTAAGAAGCCGGTGTTTGATGATTACATCATCTTCAGAAGGACCAAATGCATAGTTTGCTGCAACTGGTTCTCCACGACCTGAAACCTTCCTCACTCTTCCCAGCATCTCAATTTCTTCATCAACCACATACAAAATTAGGGGAAAATTACGTAATTGTTGAATTGAAGTATAATTAGGGTTAGGGATTCATTTATATGAATTGTTCAGTTATCATTGTTTATAGTAGTAGAATATGAAATGTAGTTTTTGTGTGGCGAAAATTATAGAGTAAAGGAGATTAGAATGAACCTTTTTTGGGGCTGCGTGTGCGGTGGTGTACTCCGTGTCTGTGCCTGAGTTCCGGTGAGAGCGGTTCTGGTTCAAATGAAAGAGCGAACTCGCTGGAGAAAGAACGGGCCGAATGGGTTCATAAATTTGGAGATATTCTCTTGGCACCTTAAAAATAAACCTGCAACTCTCCAAAACCACTTTTGGATTATAATAAAAGGGTCTAAGGGAGATAGACGGACCGTGTGACCGTGTTCTCAAATGAAAATACTTTGTATAATTTATTTAATAATTTTTTATTATTAACTTTTAGGTAAGTTTTTATTATTAACTTTTATTAAAAAATTTATTTAAACAAAAAATATCGTTTCTATTTTCATTCATGCGCATTAAAAAAGCAAATTATATATCTAATTTAAAATTTTTTATCTCACTTAACAGAATACATGATCGTTATGACATTATAAAATAGTTTTGAAGTGTTAGTACATCACTCATTTTCTCATAATAAGTATCTTTAGTCATAAAATGTGAAAATCCAATAAGATTAGTTATTTTTACAATCTTTCACAAATTATAGTAATTTTTTAAATTATCGTATTTTTACAAATTAAATTTCTTTGTTAAAACTTTGCAATTTTATCGACGTTTTCATATTTATATTGCATTTTTTGAAAATCAGTGCATTTTTATTGGCATTTTTGAAATATTTGATAAATTTTCATAAATTACTTAAATTTATACTGGAGATTTTAAAATTTTCGGTAAATCACCATGTATTTTTATCGGTATTTTTGAAAAGTCAAATAGAATGCATACATAAGCACCGTCTTTTTTAAAAAATTGGTAAATAGGTTGTTAGTAACCAAATTTTTCAAAAACTCTGACAAAGTCATTCTTTTCTGGATTTTAATAAATCAGTTAGTTCATATTTCTTTGTTTTTTTATTGTGAGATGTTGGATCGAACTCTAGTATGGTCGAAGTCTGTTCGTGAGTAATGCGTGTTGTAGTCGAAGTTTGCTCTAACATGCATTAGTTAATATTGCTAGGGTTGTTAGCATGTTGAATTGGGCCTTACTTGTAAGTCCAATTGTTTAAGTTAGTTTGTACCCTAAATTAGCTTGTAATGGGTAATTGTTAAAAAGCCCATTAGGTTAGTGTGCTATTTTTCTTATAAATAGGATACTAGTTTCTCAATCTTGATATAAGGAAAAATAGGAAGATAAAATCCTAATTTCAAGAGAGAAAGGTTATTTTGTTATTCTTGTATACTTGTAATCTTGTTCTAAGAGAAAGGAAAGAATAGCAGTTTAATAACCAATCCTTGTTGTTTTCTTCTTTGTTTACCCTAACCCTAACCCTTGTGTGTTTCTTGATCACAAAGAAACCGTTTATACTTTGTTTAAGGTATCCGATTCACAACAAATTGGTGTCGTGAGCGTGGAGAAGATGCCTTCAACAAAGTATGAGATTGAAAAGTTCACCAGAGTGAACGACTTCGGTCTGTGGCGCTTGAAGATGAAAGCCTTACTGGTTCAGCAGGGTTGTTTGGAAACGTTGAAGGGTGAGGCAGCCATGGACGGGCATGATCGAGAAAGCCCACAGCGTAATATTGTTGAGCCTTGGTGATAAGGTTCTTCGACAGGTATCAAAGCAGACTACAGCATCAGGATTATGGGTGAAACTTGAAAGTTTGTACATGACCAAATCTCTGGTGAATCGACTCTATCTGAAGCAAGCTTTATATTCATTCAAGATGAGTGAAGACAAAGTGTTGGCTGAGCAGTTGGATATGTTCAACAAGCTGATTCTTGATCTTGAAAATATTAATGTGAAGGTCGATGATGAAGATCAAGCACTGTTGTTGCTGTGTGCTTTGCCCAGAACACATGCTCACTTCAAAGAAACTCTCTTGTATGGAAGGGAGTCCCTGACCTTTGAAGAAGTTCAATCATCTTTATATTCTAAGGACTTGAACGAACGAAAGGAGCATAAACCTTCGACGGTGGGCGAAGGTTTGGCCGTTAAGGGAAAATTCTTGCGAAAGCATGGTAAGTTCGACAAGAAGAAAGGTAAAAGTCAACAGAAGTCTTATGGTGGCGAAACATCTAGTATTCGATGTTATCACTGTAAGAAGGAGGGTCACATAAGAAAGGTGTGCCCTGAACGCCTGAAAGATCATGGAGGTAATGGCAATGCAGCCATTGTTCAAGATGACTTCGACTCATCTGATGTTCTTGTGGTTTCAAGTGGCGACTCGAGAAAAGAGTGGATTATGGATTCAGGTTGCACTTGGCACATGACCCCAAACAGAGAATTGTTCGAGGAGCTATATGATCAAGATGGTGGATCTGTGCTGCTGGGAAACAACAAATCTTGCAAAATTGCAGGTATTGGATCTGTGAGATTCAAGCTCCATGATGAGTCAATAAGGTTATTGACTGAAGTCAGGTACGTACCTGACTTGAAGAGAAATCTGATTTCTCTTGGTGAATTCGACAGAAAAGAATACGTTTTTCAAGGAGAGAAAAGTATCCTAAGGGTCATGAAGGGGTCGAAGGAAGTCTTAAGAGGCGTGAAGAAACAAGGCTTGTATACCCTTGAAGTTGAGGTTGTAAGTGGTTCGACAAATGTTGCATCCACGAAATCTATGTCGAAGACAGAATTATGGCACATGAGATTGGGCCATGTCAGCGAAAGAGGTCTGGTCGAATTGGGGAAGCAGAACCTGCTAGGAGGTGATAAAGTCGAAAAATTGGATTTTTGTGAATCTTGTGTATTTGGTAAATCCTGTAGGGCGAAGTTTAACAAAGGCAAGCAAAGAACACATGGATCACTGGATTACATTCATGCTGATCTTTGGGGGCCTGCAAGGAATCCTTCACACTCAGGTGCAAGGTATTTTCTATCCATCGTTGATGACTATTCCAGAAAGCTATGGGTATTCATTCAGAAGATGAAGGATGAAACTTTTGAGAATTTCAAAAGTTGGAAGATTCTGGTCGAAACTCAAACTGGCAGAAAGGTTAAGAGGTTAAGAACCGACAATGGTCTTGAATTCTGTAATGAAGCGTTCAACAAGTACTGTGTTGAGTCTAGGATTGCAAGGCATAAGACTATAGCAGGTACTCCTCAACAAAATGGCTTAGCTGAGAGATTCAATCAAACAATCCTTGAAAGGGTTAGATGCATGTTGGTTAGTGCTGGATTGAAGAAGGTGTTTTGGGCGGAAGCTGTTTCGACAGCAACTTACCTGATAAATAGATGTCCCTCGACTGCCTTGAGAATGAAGACACCTGAAGAAGTTTGGTCGGAACATCCACCTAGTCTCGACAGACTGAGAGTATTTGACTGTGTGGCCTATGCTCATATTAGGCAAGACAAGGTCAAACCTAGAGCTCTGAAATGCATGTTCATGGGATACCCTGAAGGAGTAAAAGCTTACAGGCTATGGTGCCTAGAGCCAGGTCACAGGAGGTGCATCACCAGTCGAGATGTAGTTTTCAATGAAGCAGAAATGGCTTTCAAGAAAACTGATAATGCTGACGAAGAGCTGGAACAGGGAGAGATTCCTGTTGAGGTGGAGCATGTTGATGCTGAATGGCCTACCCCATATGAAGTCGAAGAAGACGCAGAAGATGTTTTCGAAGATGAGGAGACTGATAATGACTACCTGCTAGCTAGAGACAGGTCGAGGAGAGTCATCAAGCCACCTCAGAGACTTGGGTATGCAGATCTTATAGCTTATGCCTTAATCTCTGCAAGTGAGGTTCTAGACGAAGAACCTAGAGATTATAAGGAAGTTATGAGGAATCAAAAGAAAAATGAATGGCTGAAGGCCATGGATGATGAGATGAAATCTCTTCATGATAACAACACATGGGAAATGATCAAGAAACCTGTTGGAGCCAGGTTAGTCAGCTGTAAATGGATTTTCAAAGTTAAGGAAGGAATCGAAGGAGTGACGTCGAAGAGATACAAGGCAAGATTGGTTGCTAGGGGGTTCACTCAGAAAGAAGGTATCGACTTCAATGATGTGTTTTCTCCTGTTGTGAAGCACAGATCCATTCGAATGTTGCTTGCCATGGTGGCCCAGTTCGACCTTGAACTGGAACAGATGGATGTAAAGACTGCGTTCTTGTATGGTGATCTAGATGAAACAATCCCGATGAGGCAACCTGAAGGGTATGTCGAAAGAGGGAAGGAAGATTATGTGTGCAAACTGAATAGATCTTTATATGGACTGAAACAATCTCCTCGACAGTGGAATAGGAGATTCGACAAGTTCATGGCACATATAAGTTTCATCAGAAGTCAGTTCGACCACTGTGTTTACTTCAGATTTCGACCGGGTAATTCATTTGTTATTTTGTTGCTCTATGTGGATGATATTCTAATAGCAAGCAACAACGTCGAAGAGGTAATGAGGGTGAAGGTTGAACTCAATAAAGAGTTCGACATGAAGGATCTGGTAGCTGCGTCCAGGATTCTTGGGATTGATATCCGGAGAGATAGAAGCAGTCGAAATTATGCTTATCTCAAGAGGCATACCTACAAAAGGTTCTCGAAAAGTTTGGTATGTCGAGTTCAAAGCCTGTTGTGACTATGACAAACCCTCAATTCAAGCTGAGTATAGATCAGTGTCCCAGCACTGATGTTGAAAGAACTTATATGAATAGCATTCCATATGCTAACATAGTAGGTTCTTTGATGTATGTTATGGTTTGTACTAGACCCGACATAACATATGCAGTAAGTCTTGTAAGCAGGTACATGGCGAATCTTGGAAAGGCTCACTAGCAAGCATTGAAGTGGATTTTAAGGTACATAAATGGGT